GCAGACCCAGGCACCAGGCCAGGCTGCTCAAGGACTCCAGTAGCAAGTCTATGTGTGGAATATGCCAAACAGCCTGCCCAGAATCTCTGGATAGGCTGACTAATAAAGGGTCTTGCCAGACAAAGCTAATCTGCAAAGACTGAAATAAGTCCCTACATCTTTAAATGTGCAGACATCAACATGTGACCACAAGGATCAAGAATATTCATGGAAATATGACACCACCATGGAAATAAAATAAAGTACCAGAAACCAACCTTGAAGAAATGGAGATTTGTGAATCACCTGACAAAGAATTTAAAATAAGTATTTTAAGGAAGCTCAGCAAACTTCAAGAAACTACAAAGAAACAATTCAATGAAATCAGGAAAACAATAAATAACCAAAATGAGAAATTTAAAATAGAGATTGAAATTATTTTAAAAAATCAAATAGAAATTCTACAGCCAAAAAATGCAATAAGCGAAATAAAAATGCAATAGCAGAGTTGATCAAGCAGAAAAAAGAATCTGTGAACTTGAAGATAGGTTATTTGACAATATATAGTCAGAGAAGAAAAATGAAAAAAGAAAGAAAAAGAATAAAAAAGCTTACAGGGCTTATCGGACAGCAACAAAAGAGCAAATATTTGAATTATAGAAGTTCAAGAAGGAGAAGAGAGATACAAAGGAACAGAAAATTTTTAAAAAGAAATAATAGCAGAAAACTTTCTAAATCTGAGGAAAGATATAAATATCCAGGTACAGGAAAGTCATAAGTCTCCAATCAGATTCAATCCAAACAGGATAATACTGAAACATATTACAATTAAACTGTCAAAAATCAAAGTAAAAGAAAATATCCTGGCCAGGCGCGGTAGCTCACGCCTGTAATCCTAGCACTCTGGGAGGCCGAGGCAGGTGGATTGCTCGAGGTCAGGAGTTCGAAGCCAGCCTGAGCAAGAGCAAGACCCTGTCTCTACTACAAATAGAAATAAATTAATTGGCCAACTAATATATATATATATATATAGAAAAAATTAGCCGGGCATGGTGGCGCAGCTGTAGTCCCAGCTACTCGGGAGGCTGAGGCAGAAGGATCGCTTGAGCCCAGGAGTTTGAGGTTGCTGTGAGCTAGGATGATGCCACGGCACTCACTCTAGCCTGGGCAACAAAGGAGACTAAAAAAAAAAAAAAAATCCTGAAAGCAGCAACAAAAAAGAAGCATATCACATACAAGGGAGTTCCAATGAGGCTATCATTGCTCTTCTCACCAGAAACTGTAAAGGCTAGTATAGAGTGGGAAGATATTCAAGATGCTGAAGGGAAACAAACAAACAAAAAAACCGTCAACCAAGAATACCTTACCTGGTAAAATTGTCCTTCAGAAATGAAGAAGAGATAAAGACTTCACCAAACAAATAAAAAACTGAGGGTGTTCATCACCACCAGACCTGTCTTACTAGAAACTAACAGTGGCTTTTTAAAAAGATAAACAAAATTGACAAACTTTTAGTTAGACTAGCTAAGAAAAAAAGAGAGAATATTCAAATAAAATCAGAAATGAAAGAGAAGATATTTCAACTGATATCACAGAATTACAAAGGATCATAAGAGACTTCTATGAACAATTATATGCCAATAAATTGGAAATATAGAATAAATGGATAAATTCCTAGAAACATACAACCTACTAAGACTGAATCATAAAGAAATAGAAAATTTGAACAGATGAATAATGAGTAAGAAGATTAAATAAATAAGTAATCTAAGAAAAGCCCAGGACCTGATGGCCTCACTGATAAATTCTACCAAACATTTAAGGAAGAACTAATACCAATCCTTTTCAAACTCTTCCAAAAAAAACAAACAAGAAGAAATACTTGGAAACTCATTTTAGAAGGCCAGCATTAACCTGATATCAGAGTCAGACAAGGACAGAACAAGAAAAGAAAATTACAGGCCAATAACCTTGATGAATATGGATGCAAAAGTTCTCAATAAAATACTAGCAAACTGAATTCAACAGCATATTAAATAGATCATTAACAATGATCAAGTGGGATTTATCTTGCGGATGCAAAGGTGGTTCAAGACATGCAAATCTATAAATGTGATACACCACAAAAACAGAACAAAGGACAAAAACCATATGATCATCTCAATAGATGCAGAAAAAGCATTTGAAAAAATTCAACTCTTTCATAATAAAAAAATTTTCAATAAATTAGGTATAGAAATAATGTACCTCAATACATATTGAGGCCACATATGACAAACCCACAGCTAACATCATACTCAATGATGAAAGGTTGAAAGTTTTTCCTTTAAGATCATGAAAGGTTGAAAGTTTTTCCTTCAAGATCAAGGATGCCTACTGTCACCAATTCTATTTAACATAGTACTAGAAGTCCTAGCTAGAGCAATTAGGCATGAAAAAGAAATAAAAGACAACTAAATTGGAAAGGCAGAAGTTAAACTGTCCCCTTTGTAGATGACATGATCTTATAAATAGAAAACCCTAAAGACATAACAAAAAAAGTCACAGCTAATACACAAATTCAGTTAATTAGCAAGATACAAAATCAACATACAAAAATCAATAGCATTTCTATACACTAATAACAAACTATCTAAAAAAGACATTATGAAAGCAATTTCATTTACAATTCATCAAAAATACGTAGAAATAAATATAACCAAGGAGGTGAAAGACCTGTACACTGAAAACCATAAAACATTTATGAAAGATACTGAAGAAAACATGAACAAATGGAAAGCTATCTCATGTTCATAGATTAGAAGAATTAATATTGTTAAATGTCCATACCCAAGGCAATCTACAGACTCAATGCAATCCATATCAAAATTCCAATGATATTTTTCACAGAAATAGAAAAAAAAACCTAAAATTTGTATGGAACCAAAAAGACCCTGATATACTAAAGCAATCTTGAGCAAAAAGAACAAAGCCTGAGGCACCGTACTATTAATACCTGACTTGAAAATAAACTACAAAGCTATATTAACCAAAATAGTATAGTATTGGCATAAAAATAGACACATAGAACAATGGAAGAGAAGCGAGAACTCAGATAGACATGTAGAACAATGGAAGAGAAGCGAGAACTCAGAAATAAATCCACATATTTACAGTCGATTGATTTTCAAGAACACACAATTGGTGAACTGACAGTTTCTTTAACAAATAGTTTTGGTAAAACAATGGTGAGCTAGCCCCTCTTGTATTATCCTGGATAGAGCTAGAGCCCATTCTACTAAGTGAAGTATCACAAGAATGGAAAAACAAGCACCACATGTACTCACCATCAACTTGGTATTAATTGATCAACACTTATGTGCACATATAGTAGTAACATTTACCAGGTGTTGGGCAGGTGGAGGGGAGGAGGGGATGGGTGTATTCACACCTAATGGGTGCCATGCACACCATCTGAGGGATGAACATACTTGTAGCTCTGACTCAGGCAGGGAAAAGGCACTATATATAAAACCTAAACATTTGTACCCCTGTAATATTCTGAAATTAAAAAAAAAAAACTGGATATTCACATGCAGAAAAATGAAATTAGACTGTTATTGTACAATATATACAAAAATAACTCAAAACGGAATAAAAATTTAAACATAAGATCCAAAAATATAAAATTACTTGAAGAAATTACCATTACTAGAATTACTAGAAACATAGGAGGAGGCTGGGCGCTGTGGCTCATGCCTGTAACCCTAGCACTCTGGGAGGCCAAGATAGGAGGATCGCTTGAGATCAGGAGTTTGAGACCAACCTGAGCAAGAGTGAGACCCTGTCTCTACTAAAAAGAGAAAAAATATCTTCAATAAACATGACTTTTAAAAATGTTCACAGATAACTGGAGAAGAAATCAAAAGATTGATCTGATATTGTATTTAAAAAGTAAAATTATTTTATCTTAATATAATGTTAAAAGAAAAGGTTTAATAGACAATCTATTGTTTTGTCATTTTCGGTGGCAAAAGTTTCAAGTTCTTTTATCCTTAAACATAGTATATAAGGTAAAACAAAGCCCAGAAACATTGATGATAGATATGACAGTAATATTAACCTTGATACAGACCTGACTCCAATTTACTACTCCTTAATTATAATATAGTTATAATTTATTATAATTTACTAATTTACTATTCTGGAATATTTCTTTTCAATGCAGAGTAAATTATCTTTTTTTTTCTTATGGAGTGAATAACAGAGTCCCTTGTACCTAGTAGGCATTCCTAAATAGTTGTTTAATTGGATTAGTATAAATTCTGCTTGGACCCATTAATTCAATTTCTCAACTTCCTTCACACAATCAGCAACCAGTCTGGAGCTCAGACTGCTTCAGGATTTGCTCAGCTACCCTGAAGGCTGAAGGGATTAATATCTGAGTGAAGGCATATCTGTAACCAATTCAAAACACGTGTGCATGTGCAGACACACCACCTAGGAAACGAAAATTAATGGAAAGGGCACAGCACTAATGCCATAAGGGTCATGTATGCAATTCAAACACTGTTCACTATGTGGAGAGAACTCCTTTTCAAGGCCAAATCTCTCACCAATCACCTCCCAAATAAGTGAAAAGTCAAAAGGTACCCTGGAGGCCTTCATTTTCTGAAGATAATTCTTAACTAATATGGATTTTCATTATAATTTCACCCCCAGTTTTTTAAACTTAATTTTTGAATAGGTTTGTTCAAATGACAGAAAATTTTAAAAAGTACACAGTGACAAGACTTATCTCCAATTATTGTCCCACCTTTGCCCAGCTCCTATTCTCTCCATAGGTAACTACTGTTCTTTTATTTTTATGTAACCTCCCACATTTTGTTTTTGCATTGTTTTACCATCTTTATGTAGGAAAAACAGAATATACATTCAATTCTATTGTCTTAAAAACAATGCTTTTTTTTCTATTGTGGTCAAAGAGGATTGTTTATTTCTTATGTTAAGTGTAAAATAAAACGCAGAAATAATGTTTATACCTCTGTCAGAATTTTCCTCTAAGATTGCAATCCTGAATATATAAAATTGAGTGAAAATGTTTGTAGGATCATGACGTTCAGCTTCTGTCACTGCCTCTTTGGCCTGAAAAGAAGAATATTGGGTCTTTTAAATAAAATCTATAAAGAAGTCCTTATCATATTTTAATAATATAATTAAGATAGTCAAAATGGCTGAGGGATACTGACAATGAAAAGATATAAATCTAAGAAAATTCTTTACAGAACTGCTTTCCTAGAATGCTAAAGAAATACTTCTGCTTCAGGAAATGGATGAGTTAGATATGTCAGACCAACCCTCCTGCTGAAAACAACTAAAAATGTTGGACAATATATTAAAATTTTTTTTCAAGAAAGAATAAAGGAGAAACTGACAGGACTGACAGGATAGTAAAGAATTGTCAAGCCAAAATGTAAGGAAAAGTAAGGCTCTAGAGAAGTTAAGCAAAGAAGTAAAGTCACTATTATCTGGTAAGCATTTATAAATCAATTCAAATGTTAGCTTTACTTTTGATAGGCCTCACTAGGTCAGGGAAACAGACATCAACTCCCAAGGGATCACACTTTTATAATAAGGGCAAACCAGAAGTAAACCTGCTCCCACCCATATGTTAATATATCCTTAGGGGACTGTAAATAAGGTTACCTTGGTGCTAATTAAAGGTTTCACAATGAGGTGGAGGGAAATAACCCCTGAGGTGTAACACAAGGAGATTCATGTACTTATAGCCCCAAATTACATTATACAGGAGGCCAAAAGATCTGAAGCTGAGAATTTACTTTATTTATTCATTTTTAGAAACAGGGCCTTGTTCTGTCACCAGGCTGCAGTGGCGGGATCATAGTTCCCTGCAACCTCCAACTCCTGGGCTCAAGCAATCCTCCTGCCTCAGCCTTTCAAGTAGCTAGGACTACAGGCAGGCACCATCATGCCCAGCTATTTTTACATTTTTTGTGGAGACAGGGCCTCACTGTGTCACCCAGGCTGATCTCAAACTCCTGGCCTCAAATGATACTCCTGCCTCGGCCTCCCAAAGTGCTGGAATTACAGACACAAGTCATCATGGCTGCCTGAGAATTTAGTTTAGATGGCTCCCAAACATCTGCAGAAGCAAATGTAAATGCTCTCTGGGGGAAAGCACATTCATCTTAGACTTCAAAATAATTCCACAAATAATTTTCCAAGAATCATGAGTTCTACACATTAAAAAATAACCACACACACTTGGAAAAAATGTACCACAAATGAGAATCAGCAGAAACAATAGATAACAGAAGCAGATCCCAAAGATGCAGATACTAGATTTATCAAAAACTGGTTATAGGCCGCGCGCGGTGGCTCACGCCTGTAATCCTAGCACTCTGGGAGGCAAAGGCGGGTGCGTTACTCAAGGTCAGAAGTTCGAAACCAGCCTGAGCAAGAGTGAGACCTGTCTCTACTATAAATAGAAAGAAATGAATTGGTCAACTAAGATATATAGAAAAAATTAGCCGGGCATGGTGGCACATGCCTGTAGTCCCAGCTACTCGGGAGGCTGAGGCAGCAGGATTGCTTGAGACCAGGAGTTTGAGGTTGCTGTGAGCTAGGCTGACACCACAGCACTCACTCTAGCCTGGGCAACAAAGTGAGACTCTGTCTCAAAAAAAAAAAAAAAAAAAAAAAAACTGGTTATAAAACACTTATGCTTTCAAAATTTAAAGAAACAAAAGATATGCTCAAAAATTAATGTACATGGGTTGATACACAATGGTAGATACTGATACAGTTATAGTGATTATTTCTAGAGAGTATTCATTCTGAGTCATTATTGCCTATGTTATACCAGTTGTTAAATACTTTGAATATCAATAAAGTTCCTAGGAAACAGAGACTACAAAATGTGATCTTGAAGATTTGAAAAAAAGTAACTGCTTGAAATGAAAAATACAATAACTCAAATGAAAACATAATGGACAGGTTTAGTAGCAGATCAGAAACAGGTGAAAAGAAAATTAGTGAACTGAAATATAAAACAGAATAAATTAGCCAAAGTGCAACAGAGACAGATTACAAACATAGAAGGCATTTAAGAAAGGATTCTATACTCTCTAAGCTAGCCACTTAAAGATTAGAAGTAGTAAATAATTCTCACACTAGTAGAAGGGGAAAGTGAAATGTAAAAAAAAAAAATTGAGAATAGTCTTTTCAACAAATGGTGCTGGAACAACTGGACATCCACATGCAAAAAAAAAAATGGATCTAGACACAAACCATAAACCTTTCACAAAAATTAAATGAAAATGGATTATAACTTAAATGTGAAACCTCAAGCTATAAAACTCTTAGAAGTTAACACTGGAGAAAATCTAAGTGACCTTGGGTTTGGCAATGACTTTTTAGACACAACATTAAAAGCATGACTCATGAAAGGAAAAATTAAGCTGAACTTCATTAAAATTAAAAACTTCTGCTCTGTGAAAGACATTATTAAGAGATTAAAAGACTAAGCCACACATTGGGAAAAATATTTGCAACATATCTGATAAAGGACTGGTATCCAAGATATGCAAAGAATTCTTAAAACTCAACCATAAGAAAACAAGCAATCCGATTATAAAATGAGCAGAAGACCTGAAGAGACACTCCACCAAAGAAGACATACAGATGGCAAACAAACATATAAAAGGATGCTTAACAGCATATACCATTAGGGTTTTGCAAATTAAAACAACAATGAGGTACCAGTACACATCTATTAGAGTGGCTAAAATCCAAAACACTGACATCTAATGCTGACAAAGATGCAGACCAATAGGAACTCCCATTCACTGCTGATGGGAATGAAAAATGATATGACCACTTTGGAAGACAGTTTGGCAGTTTCTTACAAAACTAAACATACTCCTGCCATACAACACAACACCTGCGCACAGATGTTTATAGTAGCTTTACTCATAATTGCCAAAACTTGGCAGCAACCAAAATTTCCCTCAAAAAGTTAATGGATTTCTATATTCAGATAATGGAATATTACTCAGCACTAAAAAGAAATATACTATAAAGCCATGAAAAGACATGAAGGAACCTTAAGCATATATTACTAAGTGAAAAAAAAAAACAATCTGAAAAGGCTAAGTACTGCATGATTCCAATTATATGACATTCTGAAAAAGGCAAAACTATGGAAATAGTAAAAAGATCAGTGATTGCCACTAGCTCTGTGGGAGGGAGGAAGGGAAGAATGGGTGAACCAGAGGATTAAAGCTAATCTATATGATATTATTAATATAATGATGTACACATGTTTTTAATATATATTCATCAAAGCCCATAGGATATACCATATAAAGAATGAACCTTCTGGGAGGCCGAGGTGGGCGGATTGTTTGAGCTCAGGAGTTTGAAACCAGCCTGAGCAAGAGCGAGACCCCATCTCTACCAAAAATAAAAAAAATAAATTAATTGGCCAACTAAAAATATATAGAAAAAAATTAGCCAGACATGGTGGTGCATGCCTATAGTCCCAGCTACTCAGGAGGCTGAGGCAGAAGGATTGCCTGAGCCCAGGAGTTTGAGGTTGCTGTGAGCTAGGCTGACGCCATGGCACTCTAGCCCAGGCAACAGAGTGAGACTCTGTCTTAAAAAAAAAGATTAGATACATAGAATCAGTGGAATAGTATACAGTCCAGAAACAGATCCACACATTTATGATCTATTGATTTTTGACAAAAGTGCCAAGGTAATTCAATGGAGAAAGTATAGTCTTCATTACTGGTTTTAGAACAATATGGTATCTTTATGAGAAAAAATGAAACTTGATCTCTATCTCATACACACACACACACACACACACACACACACACACACTAGTGCAAGATGGATCATAGACCTAAACATAAAAGTTAAAACTATAAAATTTCTAGAAGGATGCATAGAAGAAATTCTTTTGCCATCTTGGTGTAGGCAAAGATTTCTTAAATAATACACAATAAACATAACCATAGAAGAGAAATAAATTTTACTTCATTAAATTAAAACCTACAACACACCTACTAGAATGATTAAAATGAAAAAGACTGAAAATACCATATGTTGACAAGGATGTGGATGAACTGACATTCTCATCTATTGCTGGTAGGAATATAAAATGGTACTACTGCTTTGGAAAATAGCTTGACAGTTTCTTATAAACTTAACAATACACTTACCATATGACCCAGCAATTCCACTTTTAGACATTTCCCCAAGACAAATCAAAACAAATAACCACACAAAGATTTGTACTTGAATGTTCACAGTAGCTTTATTTATAATAGCCTCTAACTGGAAACAAGCAAAATATCCATTAACAGATGAATGAACAAACAAATTGTGGTATATCCACACACACAATGGAATGCTACTTAGCAATAAAAAGGGACAAACTATTGATATATGCAACAACATGAGTGATTCTCGAAAACATTATGTTGAGTGAAAGAAGCCAGACTTTTTAAAAAGGTATGTGCTGTATGATTCCACTTATATGAAATTCTGGGACAGATAAATCTAACCTCTAGTGACAGAAAGCTTATCAGTCATTGCCTGAAGCTGAAAGTGGAGATGGGGATTGACTGGGAAGGAGCACGAGCGAACCTTTTGGGATAATGGAAGTCTAAATGTACACTATGGTAGTGGGTACATTGGTGTATATATTTGTCACAATCATCTAACTGTATACTTAAAATGAGTACATTTTCATATGTAAATTATATTTCAATACAGTTATTTTTTTAAAAAATTAATAATGATTTGTAAGGGTCCCTTTAGTTCTAAAATTCAATGATCTATGATCCTAGTTCTCCATAGAATCTTCTTGGATTATAATAGATATTTTCAGATTATACTGATATTTTAGAACAATATGGCTGGGCGAGAACTCAAAGTTCTCTTAGTCAAAGAAGTCTTCTGATACTTGAATCTCTTCTATAACATTTATACCAGGTAGTCATTCAGTCTTTTACTTAAATATATTCAAGAAGAGAGAATTCAATATATCTTAAGAAAATCCATTTCAGTTTTTGGACAGGTCTAATCATTAGAAAGAATTTCCTTATGATGACCCC